TACCTATTTCTCACCAAGAGGTTGGGTCGGTATGGTTTTTTTCAAAAATGGATTGTAATTTTCCAAGATCTCAGGGCTAACATTATGAAAGTATATCTGCCGCCATTATGCCCGCATTGATATTTTTGTCGCTCAAACCGTGTCCTATTCCACGCGAATCTTACTTACGCCTCATGCCGTTACATATATGGCTAGGTCGCGTACTAGTCGTTATATCTACAATTCACGGAGGACTTTATGTCATCTATTTTATCATCAATGGCAAGCAACAAAAAATAATTCAGTTAAATAACTTTGCTGGAGTTGTCTTGACAGTTGGTTTTGTCCTAACCCTTTTCGTCTCGTTTTACATCATACGGCATCGCAATCACGATCTCTTTTATCGAACTCATTTGCTCTTTTCTTGGGCTTGCATACCTCTTATCGCTTATCATGCCCGACCACGAGTATGGACTATTATATCGCTACTAATGTCTTTTATTGGCGGTCAATTAATACAGCGCTATGGCTCTGGTCAGGAATGTCGCGCTCAGGTGCATCAGATTGGTAATATGCAACTTGTTTGTCTTCCACGCAAACAATTTCCAAAATATTTTGAGCCTGGCTCTCACGTTCGACTGTCTCCTAGCCGCACAAATTCTCGGTTTTGGTTTATTTCTGCATCGCATCCGTACACCATTGCGAGTCTCTCTACAGATGACAGTACAGTACAGTTAGTAGTCAAGCCGACAAAACGGTTCAAATTCGAAGAGGATAGAGAGTTTATTGTGCACGGTCCGTACCCGTCTCTTTCATACGACTTTTTTGTGGATATGTATAAATCCAAGAAACCTTTGCGAAGAACAGTCATTGTAGCGGGAGGTGCTGGAATTTCGTTTGCTGCGCCCATTGCAAACACTCTTAGGAAAATGAACGAGCGAGTCAAGATATTGTGGAGTGTTCGCTCGAAGTCTGATGCTATGCTATTAAAGATTATCAGACTTGATGACGTGGAGGTGTTTGTGTCAGCAGATACAGACGCACTTGAAGATCATTTTCTGCCAACTATGGAGCTGCAAGAAATTTCCAGTAATGGCATGTTGGGTTTAGACAGGCCCAAATTTGCGAACGATGGAGGTTTTGACGTACTTGAGGATACGAGCGACTTACTCAGAAAAGAGAGAGTCAATTTACATATAGGACGCATGGATGTTGAGACTGAATTAAAGAACTTCAAAGCATCTACAAACATCGATGATGGAATGTGGGTTATTTCATGTGGTGGTCGACATCTCGTCAGTGAGTGTTCTAAGTGGGGACATAAACTAGGAGCAATTGTTCACGAAGAGATTTACGATGTATAATATAGATATTTTAATCAGATATTATTAGTTTTTCTGTCAACTTATTCAAATTCAATTGAAATACTCATGTTCTTCAAGTCACTGTAGCTCCAAATCAATAAATTATACCCTAATCCCATGAGCCATTCAACAAAATTTTCTCAGGGGCACTAGTGCAAACTTCCCAACCTGATGAACGCCGAGTCAGATTTTGTCTTTCCAGCGATTGTTGACCGGCTCATATCGAGGATAAATCATTGTTAATCGAAATGCCAAAAGAGAATAAAAAGAGAGGTCGTCGTTTGAAAGATAAGCCTTATAAGAAAGAAGAAAAAGAGGATACACTACCTATCGTATCGATCCCTTCAGAATTCGACGAGAAGCCAGATGACCCGTCGCAGCAAGACGAAGGTATTACTCTCCCTAACGATTCTAATTACGTGATCTAACTGTGAAACTGCTCTTAGATCCTGTTGCGCATCCGCAGGCGTTTTACGGTTTATTAGATAGCACGCAGATTGAGTATTTGACTCAAGTTTCAGGCATTATTGAAGCGAACGCATTCTCTTCTGACGAAGGTAAGGCAGACACTTATTATTGCGAAGTATAGAAGGTATTAAATTATGGATTTAGAACGCGATCAGCTGTTTGAGGCGTTATGGACAGAGTGCAAAGGAGTAGAACTAAAAGTCGTCACAGATCCTACGGGTTCGAAAGTGTTCGAGCGCCTGCTATTGTCTGCGACTAAAGATAAACTAATGGAAGTTAACCAAGCGTTTGCTTCTCGCTATTGCGACCTTGCAACACAAAGATTTGCAAGCCATTGCCTCCAGACACTTTTAAATTGCTTGAGATCATGTGTAGTTGACGAAGTCAAATATGATCATGAGTTGGCTCAAAGTACGATGATAGATTCGGTCAAGACTCCCGCCATCGCATGCATTTTAGATATGTATAAGGTATGTGCTAAGATTGCTTTTATTGGAATAGCTTTCTAAAATATTCACAGGAGCTTACGCCCGAGATTTACCGAGTAGCTTTTCACCCTTTCGGATCACATGTTTTCCGCTCACTGCTAATGGTATTATCTGGACATGCTATCGAACAAGAGAGCGCAAAGTCCGTTTTAAGTAGAAAAAGGGCTCTAGGAAACAAAAAGAGAAGTGGTGTGGAGATTGCAGATTCTCTGCTTTACGACTCATATAAGACTCCTGAGGTGTTTAAGCAGTCTGTGCTAGAAATTTTGAGCGCTATGACGGATGGATTATCAACAGAGGAGGCTCGGCAACTGGCTTCAGACCCAATCTCTAGCCCTGTAATACAAATGTTCATTGAACTCGAAGATGGCTTTATGCGTAAGGATATGCTAGGAATAATTTTTCCGTCCATGTCGGGCGAACCTGACTTCCTCACAATTTCATATCTTGAGAATCTTCTCACCAGCCCCGTTGGCTCTCATTTTCTGGAAAATGTTATATCAAACTGTCCGATTTCCTTTGTTGACTATATTTGTTTCTCATTTATTGTGCCGCGGCTCGATATCATCAGCAAAGCGCAAGGATTCAGTTATGCTGTCAAGGCCATTATGGGGCGATTGAACAGAACGAACGCTGCCGAGTTTGGCAAGATTCTTCTTGCGCGAGTTTCGGATCTCACTTGTAAGACTGCGCGTTCAATCATGATTTTTCTGTCAAATACTAAAGGCGCTTCTAGTAACTAATGCTATTTTGCTCAATTGCATCATTCTTGGCGCGTCGCGCCATTCCATTCTTACGACCGAACTGATGGAGGTAAGTTTCTTAATTTTTCTGGTTTCCTGTAAACTACATCTCTAATTCAAAATAGAAAATTACTGAAATTACGTCGAAAGAAAGCAAAAATTTGCTTCTTGATCTGCTCGAGATTGAAGGGTTTGAATCTATATCAGAAACTCAACGAAGTAAATTGAACGATAGTATCAAACAGCGCTCATTACTAATCGAAAGTTTGAATGCGAAATTACCCCAAATGTCAATAAAGATTGCGGATGCGTTCATCGAGTTTCCTGCAGCTGCCAAACTAAAGTTCATGCAGAATACTGTATTTTCCCACGTCGCTGAGTCGATTTACAAGAATTCAGAACTTCCGATTGTGACAAGGAAGCGTTTGATGAACGATCTAGATGGCCATTTTGTTGAGCTTTCATGTAGCGCAGGCTCATCTAGAGTTGTTGATGCCTGCCATATATTGACAGCACAAGGCATGAATCACTATCGCGAGAGAATTGCCAAAGAACTAATACAGGGACGAGAGACTTTGATGAGAAACCCGTATGGCAGAATTGTTTGGCGAAATTGGAACATGGATATGTATAAGCGAGATTTCGGTCTCTGGAAGCGCAATCAACAGAAATAGGTGCGCAATCAACAGAAATAGGTGACTCTTACATGAATTGTAGTGCGTATTTCGGGTGGAGGGAGCATTTACGAACGCGCAGTGGCATATTTAGAATAATCATATAATGCATTTATGTCCAAATCAGCAGCCAGCAGCATTTTTTGCATTTGCTCGTTATCGTACAACCTAAATAGCCAGCTTTACCCAGCTCAGAGTAACTGTTCACAGTTCGTGTCTACAGAGCCTCGTCCTCTTCATCTCCATTCGCATCCGTATCCTCCTTTTCTTTCTTGTCATCGCTATCCCTATAGTTGAACAGCAAGGTTAATAAAAAATAATTCAAGTCGCAACTGAGACCACTGACCACTCAATGTTAAATCGCGTTACTCTTGGTTTCTCAGCTAAGATGTTGCGAACCACGTGCTCTATCTGAACTTTGCTAGGAGGATTCTCTCGTAGCTCTTCGGCATCATACTCATTATTCACATAGTACCCAACTCTCACAAACTCCTGGTCCTTGTATGAGCACGTGAGTAAAATCACAGTGACGCTCACAAGCTCTGCCGCCGGAATGAGATCAGGTGAAGGAGGGTCAGCTTGGAAATTGAACTTGTTCGTACCGACTGGAACTGGGCCAACTAGCAAAGAATCTAAAAGTTGATCATGTTGTGAGCTGAGTATTGAGTTAGTCAATCGCGTTCTATGTACTGAATAAAATTATGCGAACGCACGATGCAGAGGATCCAACGTATGTAAGTTTCCACTCCAAGTCTAAGTAGAGATTTAGCCCGAGTTTGCCATAAATAATGAAATCATTTCAAACTAAGCCAACCTTCTCTTAATGGTTCAAGACATTCAAATGTTATCTCAAACTCATAAGGATCATCAAATTTAGCAGGGTTGTTCAAGACATTGATTCCCAAGAGCGAGACAATCGACATGTTGGGTTATTGTTAACTGAACCTAGTACTCAAAAGCTCGAAGTATTCAAGATATAAATACTCGATAGATAATAATCAGCTCGATTGAATATGGAAAAATATTAATTCGAGGCGCTAGCTAGAAAGGAGCACTTGGCAGCTTTGATTAGCGTTAGTATTATACGCGTCGCGCGCGCTCGAGAAAAATAGATTTGGCAGCTAACCCGCGAAGTTGGCCGAAACACCCAAATCACTGCCTCCTCCCACCAGCTGTTCACAATCCGCTATTACGAACGATGAGAATCAGAATACTAGTTAGTGTCCGACAATATTCGTATTTCGCAAAAACAATTATAATCTAAGAAAAAAATTAGATCATCAAAGGTCGTACCCGGGATCGAACCGGGGTTACCAGAAATTTTGTTTCAAAATCTGGAGTGATAACCACTACACCATACAACCAATTCTCGCCAAAGTTTTCGCTTTGGTCAACTATAGCGTAAATTTCAAAATACCCCAACCCTGTATATTTTCCCTGAACGTCATCTAAAGCTTAGAGCATGTTGATCTGCGTTGAAAAGCTATACTATTTTGCTTTTCTCTCAGTTAGAATTGATTTGGGCGGTGAGCGAAAGGCCTATTCGTAGCAGATATTATGGTTTCGGGATTCTTGGTTTATAATATCGTGTTGACCGATATCGATAGCAATATATCAATCAATCAATTAACAAAACAAAAACATGCAAGTAATCCTGCTAAAATCAAAATGCTACAAATATACATAGTTAATGGTATATAAAAATGCATTATAATTCGGTTTATCGCGATATAACCTACATTAACTTCATATTGTAAATGACACAGAATTTATAGCACAAGCCCCTTGCTGCTACTCGAAACACACACAATGCGGCTTCTGGGCCTGCGTCGAGAGCTCTTGTCTATCTACCAAACTAATTTACTTTGCTGTACACAGGATAGTGTGAGTATGTCCAACATTGATAGCTGCTCTATTCTCTCAATGGCAAAAATATACTCTGCGTCGACGACAGCCCCCGTCAATATTGCTGTGAGTTTTATTTTTGGTTTCATCAAGAAATTTTTAACTATGTACTAACGTAGGGTATAGACTCTTAAGTATTGGGGAAAGCGAGACACAAAGCTCAATCTTCCAACCAACTCGTCTATCTCAGTCACTCTTTCACAAGATGACTTGAGAACCCATACTACTGCATCAGCTTCGGAGTCGTTCACCAGAGATATTTTATGGTTAAATGGCACTGAGGAGTCAGTTACCGGTGCCCGAACCACCGCTTGTCTTGCAGAGTTGCGTGCTCTAAGAAAAAAGCTGGAAGATAGCAACTCTTCTCTGCCGCCTTTAAGCTCTTATAAGCTTCATATTGTTTCTGAAAACAACTTCCCTACTGCAGCCGGTCTGGCTTCTTCAGCTGCTGGCTTCGCAGCTCTGATACGTGCTATCGCTGACCTGTATGAGCTCCCTCAGAGCGAGGAGGAACTGTCGCGAATCGCTCGGCAAGGTTCAGGGTCAGCTTGCAGATCACTTTATGGTGGTTATGTTGCATGGGAAATGGGCAACAAGGAAGATGGCTCCGATTCTCGTGCCGTTCAGATTGCTACTGAGGCTCAATGGCCCGATATGCGGGCGGCTATCTTGGTTGTGTCTGCTAAGAAAAAGGAGACGTCCTCTACAACTGGAATGCAAACTACTGCAAAAACTTCGCCTTTGTTCAAGTACCGTGTCGAGGTAGTTGTACCGGAACGCTTCAAGCAAATGTCAAAGGCTATAGAGAAGAAGGATTTTGAGGTTTTTGCTGACCTTACCATGGCAGACTCTAATCAGTTCCACGCTGTCTGCCTTGATTCGTCTCCACCGGTATTCTACATGAATGACGTCTCTCGTAATGTGATATCACTGGTTGAAAAGCTGAACAGCTTGGCTGGTCGTATTGTAGCCGCCTATACTTTTGACGCCGGTCCAAATGCAGTTTTATACTACTTGGAGAGGGATGAGTCTGTAGTTCTCGGTTTACTGAAGGCTGCGCTTCCGGATTTAGAAGGATGGCAAAAGAAGCCTGCTGTTATTGCATCTGTCCCCGAAGGTATCAGCAGCGAGATGTACGATTCCTTGAAGGAGGGCGTCAGTCGAATCATCTTGACTGGTGTCGGTCCTAGCCCTCAGAAGACTGGCGAGAGTCTCGTTGGAGATGACGGTCTACCTAAATTCTCTAATAAATCAGAAGCTTGATTGCAGTGAGTCATTTCCGAAGAAGTCTGATGCGAAAAAAGATGCCAAATTATGGCATAATTGTAGATGGTGATTTTTAGCGTGCAGTGTACAATATCTGGTTGCATTTACTTTCTGTGTGCCTTAGATGGACCTATTTTTTAAATTGCGCTCTTATTTAAATAATTTTATGTAATTGATTCAATTCCTTTTTTTGCTAAACCAAAAAAAATTCGGGACTCAAATTATTAAATAGGTTTACAAACCCGATGCCAATTCACGCAATTACAGAAGAGCCTTGACAGTTTCGACAGCAACGTAAGTCTCACCGGGAGCCAACGAAGTCCATTTGCTGACGCTACCCGCTTCAACACAAATCATATTCTTGTAACCGGTAGCAGGTTTGAAATCACCCATTTTTGTGCAGTTGGTCCAAGGATTCCAAACGACTAATAATTTATCAGTTATCACTCCAGAATAATCCTAAGTAGAGAATAAAAAATACATACCGACATCATCAAGATTTTTCCTCGTAATTTCAAACAGAGTCTTCCCATCTGAAGTAATCGACACTGGCTCTGCCACGTTTTCATACACTCTGTCAACCTCGGACGCAATGGTGACGTCCTTACTGGTCTCAGAATAATCGGTCTTTGTGACCTTGTCCTTGACGCTGACACCGGTGAGACCCGTGACAGCAACTTTGTTTACATCAGGAATGTAAAAGTAAGTGTGGAGAAGAGTCTGGAAATCCCACGCAACATTGCCAGGATTAGTGATGGAAAGAGAAGTCTCAAGGGTGTCGGATCCGAGAGAGACTGAGAATATCAGAGTGAAATCGTAAGGCCAAGCAGATTGCAGCTCCTTGGAGACATTTTCAGGACCAAGACCAAACTGAACAGTCAATGGATCCTCGGTGGTCTGGCCAAGAAATTCCCACTGAGGTGGCATTAGTTTCGTTGTTGGCAGAAGTGACGTAGCAAAATCAAGAAGACTTACAGTAGACAGACGAGCAAATCCGTGCTGCGGAAGAGTAGCAGTAGGACCGGAAGTGGCCTTACCAAAGACCTGAACCAAATCTTTTATTAGTGATTGATGTACGGACAGAGTGTAAGTAGTAGCAGCTAACCGGAAATACTAGAGGAACGCCGCCTCGGACCGCCTTGGTACCATCAAGAATAGCAGCCCTGAATAGCATCAATTTAGCAATCCACCGCTTTAGATGGCACTAAATATATACTCACTCGCTAAGGAACAGCTTCTCTCGGCCATTGACTTTCCAGGATAAAATATTCGCTCCGTGGAGGAGGACTTTCACGGAGCTGCCGGCATGAGACAAGGTAACGTCACTATCAGTTTGTTCAATCGGCATTTTTAAAGATTGGTGTATATGTGTACCAATTAGACGGTTAAAAAAATCAGCTAAGGGACCTCGTGAGGCTGATCTAGTAAACAAGTATTTGAGTGACTGGTGGGAACAATGGCGCAGTGATATCATTCAGATGGCTCGAGGGCGAGACGACATACATCAGCCGAGATTCCACGCAGACAGCCGCACGCTTTCGATGTCCGATTCATTTGTGCACTCTTCACGTGGGGTCGGTCATTTTGTCGAAGTGACCAGACATTTAAATTAATTTGAATACGTTGGACGACTATTTTCTGCCTTACTTGTGAATTTGCTCACGATAGTCGCTAGGGGCCCAAGCTATTTTGCTGATGAGGTACTAAGTTTAAACGAAATACATTGTTATATTAAAACGGATATCAAAAGAATCAACGGGTTATACCTTGCGACCTAACTCATACAATGAACAAACCACGAACTTTATCGAATAGTTTCCTTAATATTCTTCCTTGTACACCAAATTATACTCAATAAAAGCACATAAATGCACCCAGAGAATTTCCAGCGACTTCCAGCATCCTTTCGCGTCCCGTGGATGATTTAAGAACTGATTCAATTGGCCGACATGCAAAACGCGGAAGTGAGTCTACGCTGCCATAAACAGGTTCAAGATCTGACGTGCACCGGATTACAGGGCAAGCTGAGTTCGACTCTTCAAATGTCAACCAATACTTCACTCTCATTTTGGTGGCCGGCTCACGAATGAACACTTCAGAGTCGATTAGTAGAGAATTGTTCTCGAATTTGATATTAGACACATATCGACTCTTAAGCCACTCAATCTCATTGCATACATATTTGTGCTGTGACAATAGATGGCTAGAGTTCCGAAGGAAGAGTCCAGCAGACTGACTATCAGCTAAATTGCTTATTACTGCGACAAAGAATGATATAACCTGATTATTTCATTAACTACCGATTAGCATAGCAATAACGTTTCATTGACACTTACGGGCGAGTCGGAACCATTTATCGACACATTCGTCACTTTCTCGTTCTCGATAGATATGTCAACAGTGGCCAAGTCATCCAGAGACAGCTTGACACCACCGTTAGCATAGCTAACAATACGACAACCAAACATCTCCCCTATCAGAGATAATTTGTCTGGAAATATGTGTTAGTTGATACTCTTTCTTGAAGCTGCAGATATGGTCTCACCTTTCAGCTGCTCTGTCTGCTCTGTGTCGATTCCCCTGTTTTCAGAAATGATTGTCTCTGCTCTGGCAATACCAGATTTACATGTATCGACTTCAGACTGTTTCGCATCTATTAAAGAATTCAATTGCGCATCACCTGCTATTACTCTGCTTCGTGCGGCCTGCTTCTCCTCCAGCTCAAGTTTAGCAAATTTCAATTTTTCTCTAGCGTTTAGCAGCTCATCCTTGTCACAGTCTTCGACTTCATTCTTTCGTCTGCGTAGCTGCTCCAATTTTGCTTTAAGCTTTGAGTGCTTATCCCTAATCTCTGGCAGAGAAGGAGATACAGTGCTATCGGCTGCTCGAAGTTCTTGGTCATCTTTCTGCAGAGCAGCTAGATTCTTTGTCAGACTATTAAGCACACCATCCAGTAATTTTGAGCGCCACTCATACCAAACTCCTTTTGATTGCAGTCGAGCAAAGTTCTTGATGACTTTAAATTGTGCACAGAATGAGACTTGACCATCAATGGATGCTGAGAGGTACTGGCGGAATAGACTTGGGTTTTCCTCAAGTGTCTCTGCCTCAAGACGATCAAAAAGCTCGTTTCCCTCTTGAATATTCTTACGCAATTCTCGGCAACTCTGTATGATATATGTTAGAATGATGC